TGTTGTTGTGTACCATCAAGTCAGATCTGATTCTTAGAGACCCTGTATAGGGTTTCCAAGAGCGGCTGGTGGGTTTGAGCTACTGGCCTTGTGGTTATCAGGCCAATGCCTAGCCTACAGTGGGTTTGATCAACATTGCAGCCCCCAACAACCACCTTAGCTGTCATCACCTTGCTCAACCATGGAAAGTAGTCCTGAGAAATGTCATGTTGTTTTTCACTTAGTGTACAATATACAAAAATTAGCTCAAGATGGCTCAGTGACCTAAATATAAGAACTAAAACCATTAAACTCTTAGAAAACACCCGAGGAGCAAAGCATCATAAAATAGAACCAAATGCATGAGCAACAAAAGAAAACAGAGAAATTAGATTGCATCAAGATAAACAATTTTTGTACATCAGAGCACTGTATCAACAAAAGACAACAAAGTGAAGAGAATGGAAAGAAATATTTAGGCACCATACATCTGACAAGGGTTTAATATGTAAACAACTCCTACACTTCAACAACAAAGAGATAACAATCCCATTAAAAACTGGAAAAAGGAATTAAATAGCCACTTCTTCTGAGGAGATGTTATTGCTGTTGTTGTTGTTGTTGTTGTTGTTAGGTGCCTTTGAGTCAATTCCAACTCACAATGACCCTGTGTCCAACAAAACAAAACACTGCCTGGACCTGCGCCATCCACACAATCATTGCTATTTTTAAGCCTAATTCTCGCAGCCACTGTGTTAATCCATCTTGTTGAGAGTCTTATTCGTTTTTTGGGGCTCTCTTCTTTACCAAGCATGATGTCTTTCTCTAGGGATTGGTCTTTCCTGATAACATGTCCAAAGTATATAAGACAAAATCAACAACTGGATGAGTGAAGAACATCATCTGATTCCTAAACTATGACTTCCATAGACAGTGATTACAGATTCAAGTAAAATGAAATCCTTGACCATGTCAATCTTTTTGTTTTGTTTTGTTTTGTTTTCTGTTTATCTTGGTGTTGTTTGCTCTTCCAGTTGTGAGGACTTCCTTTTTTTTTTATGTTGAGGAACGATTCATACTGAAGGCTCTAGTCTTTGATCTTCATTAGTAAGTGTTTCGATTCCTCTTTACTTTCAAGCAAAGTTGTGTCATCTGTGTATTGCAGGCCATTAGTAAGTCTTCCATCAATCCTGATGTGAGTTGTTCTTCATGTAACCCAGTTATTTGCCCAACATACAGATTGAATAAGTATGGGAAAGATACAACTCTGAAGCACTCCTCTCTAAATTTTAACCAATACAGTAAGTACCCTCATGGTCTATGTATAGTTTTCACATGAACACAATGAAATGTCATGGAATTCTCATTCTTCATGGGCCACACAGTCAAATGTCTTTGTATAGTCAATAAAGCACAAGTAAACATCTTTCTAGTATTTCAGCCAAAATCCATCTGACACCAGCAACAATTCCCTTGTTCCACACCTTCTTTTGATCCTAGCTTGAATTTCTAGCTGTTTCCTGTTGATGTACTGCTGCAACCATTTTTTGAATTTATATTCAATTAAATTTTACTTGCCTATGCGCCTACACCTGGAGTCCTGGTGTGACACTGCGGGTTAATGCACTGGACTGCAAGGTCGATATGAACTGCAGAGTCAGAGGTTCAAGCTCACCAGCTACTCCCTCAGAAATCCTATATAGGGTCACAAAGAGTTGGAACCTTTTGAACAGCACTTAACAACAACAACATGCACCACACCAGGACTCCTATAATATGTCGGAAAAGCACTGAACTGTTAACCACAAGGTTGGCCATGCAAACCCACCAGCTTCTCCTCAGAAACCATGAGTCAGAACTCACTCAACAGGACTTGACAACAACATTTTAGCATATATCACCTAAAAATAATGCTATATATGAGGGTAAATACAATACAAAGGGTACTGCTACAAAATCACAGAATCCTTTATTAAACAAAAAGATCAAAAAGTAACACTACTGTGTCTTGACATATCCTCTCACCTTTCACCAGTTTCTGGATAGCAGCCCAATTTCTTACTTCATCAAGGCTGATGGTTTTCCCTCTCTGGGCTCATCTTCCCTCATCATCATTCTCAACCTTCCTTAAAATGTTTGATCCATCTAAAAACTATTGTTTTATGCGGGCAGCATTCCTGTAATTGTTGCAAAGCTTCAATGATTTGGGAAGATGCCTACTTGAGTTTTGTTAAAAATTTGATATTAGCCCTGACCTCAAAATCATGTTTTTCCTTGTTGATAGACATTCATTGATCACGGAGACATATTTGAAGACTTTCTGTTTAGAATAGACTGTGTATTTATGAACTGGAACCCTTGCAAAAATACTCTGGCTTCCCCTCATGTAACAGTATCACAACTAAGAAGTTGAATAATAATACAATATGGTCTAATATTCAGTCTACAATCAAATTTCCCAATTGATGCAATTTTTTCATGAATTATTCCCACCCTTCATTTAGGATCCAAGTATGGATTGTTGTTGTTAAGTACCATCGAGTCAGTTCTGACTCACAGTAACCCCATATAGGTTTCCAAGATGCAACTGGCGAGTTTGAAACACCAACCTTGCAGTTCAAACTGACCTTGAGGTTGAGTGCTTACCCTATGGCATCATACCAGGACTTCAAGCCTGGGTTGTTGCTGTTGGTGTTAAGTGCTGTCAAGTCAGTTCCTACTCAATGACCCTGTATAGGGTTTCTGAGAGCAGCTGGTAAATTTGAACTGCCAATCTTGTGGTTTGCAGTCTAGTATTGATCCAACACCACACCATGAGTTCAAGCCTAGACTGTTACATTGTTAAGTGCCGTCGAGTCAGTTCCAACCCATAGCGACCCTGTATACGGTTTCTGAGGAGCAGCTGGTGAGCTTAAAGCCGCCGATCTTGTGCTTCAAAAACCAACTTTGCAATACAGTGCATGAATCCACAGTGCCACAGAGTCCTGTTATTTGATGAGCCTGTTCTGACTATTATAGTCTAGAACCATTCCCTGAGATTTTTCTTCCTTTCATGACACACAATTTGGAAGAATTCAGGTAAACAGTCTGACAGACTATCCCAGACTGAATTTTTCTAATTATTTCCTCATAATTAGACTCATTTTTGGGAGATATACTGCTACACAAAAGATGTTACCTATGATTCTACTGTGGAAACAATGGTTGTTTACTTGTTCAACTAAATACTATGAGAGACAATTATATCTGACGATACAGATTAGAAATAGCCCATCTCTTCTATTGGAAGTAGGAATCAAAGAGTATAACAGCACTCAGATTTTCTACTTGGCATGAAGAGCCAAAAAGTGCAACTTCCATTTTAAATATAAAAATTTCTTTACACCAAATGGTATAATGTGGCTGTTTTGTAGGGTCGGAATTACAGGAAGCTTTCATTCTCCATATTATTTTTATAATGTTTAGGTTTCTGTAACAAGCAGGTATGGTGTTATTTTTATAATCAGGGAACTAGATCCTAGAGATTTTAAATAAAATGGGGAAATGTTTAAAATAAAGATTTATTAAAGGGAGACTCAGGTTTTCCAGTCTAGTTAGCACAGGATTTCCACTCCCACCAGTACCAAAGTAAAACTCTGTACCCTGTACAAGATAAGACATTGAATTTTAATCCTGGTAAATGTCTTTAGTTTTACTATAGAATCTTGAAGGATTGCCTTTTAAGTCTTCATATTTGGAAAAGAAAACTACAAATATTGCAGAACAAAGGAACCATCACCTACTGATTCCTTGATATAGAACAGACCCCTTCAAATGCAATTCCTTTTGATTTTTTTTTTTCATGTTCAGCTTTTGTTTCAGATTCAAATACATTCTGAATAGATGCAATTAACCTTAACAATGTGTATAACCTTACAGCATTCCAGTGACTTTGAAGTAAGTAACCTTACTGTGTAATTGAACTAAGTTTCTTTTTTCCCTTCATTGCTGCTATACTTCTACTGATTATTATAGGTACTAAGTGTTTTCAAGCTTTCATCATCCTGTTGATTTATTGTTTCACTGTTTCAGCTGTCAAAGACTTTTTGAAAAATGCCCACTCATTTTTTGATGATATTGTATTTGAACGAAAATTATTGCTCCCTAAGACTTGGAAGACTTAAAACACAAGCCATACCAAAGAACTGAATCTAGTTCAGAAGAATTGGAAATTCATTCTAAGCATAGCCATAAGTTCTGTGGTTCTGCATAAACTAGGCAGAACAGGGCAAATCGGATCTAACCCAACCACAGTATCTTTTTCTTTCCACCCGCTCCAACAATCTCTTCTGCCAGACATAGAATTGTGCTTTTCAAGCTGTAGGTGGTAGCCCACTGTGAGTTATGAAAACAGCTTGATGGATTGATTTTTAATGAACAAGAATAGAAAATGTCAATGTCAGAATGCTTCACATATAGTAAAGGTGACTACGGTTTTGTGACATTTCTGTTTCAGTTATATCTGCCCTCATATATACCCATACATGCACTCTGTCATGAGGGCAAATGAATTGCTCACTAGAGGTTATGGTCAGAAATCTGAAAATCACTGGAAGGTAATAAATTGTTTAGTCCGTTCAGAAACAATGACAGTTAAGAGAATAGCTCTAACACCGACCCCTCAGACCCTCTGCAATGTACAAAAAGCAATAGGGCAAAGTGGACTCCCACAGAAACTTTAACATTTCTCAAACATGCTGCATTACTCTTTCTATATCACCACTCTTTGCTGCTGTTGTTGTGGGGTTGCCATCAGGTTAATCCCCACTCATGTGACAGAAGAGAACTGCTCTGTAGGTTTTCTTGACTGTGATCTTTATAGAAAGAGACTGTTATATCTTTCTGCTTCAGTGTCACTAGGTAGATTCAAACTGTCAACTTTCAAGTTAGCAGCCAACCACTTAACGGCTGCACCACCAGAAGCCCATCACTCTTGTTAGCCTCTATCATTTCTATTTTCTAGAGGTGAAAATACATCAATTGCTAGGACATTCGCTAGCTGCATTATCATCCCTCTTCCAGTTCCATATCATGTTAAGGATGCAGACGTTGGAAGATAGACTCAGGTTTGAGTTATGATTCTTTCACTAAAAACCCACAAGATCTTGCAAAATCATTGAATCTCTCAAGACTCATTTTCCTCATCTATAAAATCTCCAAATGTTTATTATGAGGACAAAATGCATTCACACATGTAATGTGCTTAGCACAAGATCTGACAGCTTATATTGGAAACATATGAGCTA